CCACAGGGCTTCCCTGCACCTAGTTGTTAAAGTTCTTCTAGGTCTGGGGACTAGCAGAGTGGATCTGCAGACCCAGCTGAGTTCTGCGGATCATAACCTGAGCATTGATGACACGCAGGTGTTAGCCAGGGAAGTTTTAGTCCAATGGCAAAAGGAATAAAAGAAAAAACCAACATGATGAAGGCAAGAGAAAGAGTGGCCACTACGGATAACTGGGAGGAATAGATAAAGGAAAGAAAATTACTAGGAAATCTGTGCCACTATTAATAAGAAAAAGTGAAGTCAGACCACAGATCGTGGTTAAACAAGTGGTGGAGCATTGTAAACAGAGGCAGCCCTGTGTGGTAACAGCATGTACCCTAGAGCTCTGCCCCCCTGTGCTTGAGTCCTGATTTTGCTACTCCCTTGTGATCTTGAATAAGTCCCTTAAAACTTTCTGTGTTTTGATTTCCATATCTGTAATGGAAGGAATACATTCATTTACTTAACCCTATGGGCTAGTGCATGAAAGGCAGTCCTCGCCTCAAGGAAGTACTAGGTGTTAGTCACTGTGGTTGATGTCACTGCTGTTCTTCTAAGACGATACAGCTGACATAGGCAAACACTTTCAAGACCTGGACAAGGCCAAATTGTAGACTTGCGTCATAACTATAGAGGCTGCAGTTGGATCAGTGAGTGGATGAGTTGGAGTCACTTGCAAGCATTCCGCCTTGAATAAATGTTGTCTTACATTCTTTCATTTGTCACTTCTAACTTTTCAGTTCCCTCTTATCCTACTTTATGTGTTTCTCCTTCTTACAATGTGATCTTGAATCCACTTGGAGTTAAAGCTTTCACAGAAGACGTTGGGAATGTTCGTGTGCAGTCAGAGTTAACCAGGCTTAAGTGACGGCACTTCATCAGTCTCACCGTTTCCTGTCCTGGGCTCCATGTACCTCATCTTCCCCACAGCCTCGTTCCCTAGGTTGTCCTGCCCTCCTGAGTGTTTGCAGCTTGCTTCCAGGGTTGAACATGTAAACAAAATATAATTCAGGGTGTTTTTGAACACCCTTTTAAAACTTATTTTGAAGAAAGTATAGACACACCAGAAATCGCAGGTGGTACAGAGCACGCCATGTTTCCGTCCACAGATTCCTTCCGTGGTGATCTCTTCTAGTGCACACTTAAAACCAGGAAACTAGAATTGGCATAACTTAACCAGAAGATTTACAGACCTTACTTGACTTCTTCAGTTTTTGCAAGCACTCACTTAGAGGAGCGAGGTTGTATGCGGTGATTTTGTGGTAATGTCTGGGTGTGATATTCTATGACATTTTGACACATGTATAGATTTGCATGACCATCAGCATGTTCAAGATACAGAATTGTTCCGTCCCCACCAAGGACTCGCTCACACTTCGACCGCTTGTGTGGCTCTTGGGTAACGCAGCAGCCTAGCTCCTGACATGACCCAACCCCACAGGGATTAACAACCTTTGGTCTCATTTCACCCCTCTAATAATGTGTTTCATCTTCTGTCTTTCAAGATGATAACCTATGGGGGCTAAAGCTGCCTTTTGTTTGTGCTTATTTGGGGATGGCGGGTAATCACTTTTTGTGGTCATATGCCCAAAATATCTTTCATAGCACTTACGTAAGAAAAATGTGTCTACTTCAAAGTTTATGGTTGAGTTTGAAACTTTGAGTCTGGTGTATTTTTACTAAGTCTAACAGGTTATTTTGGGGTACTACATTGAAATGTAATAATGGTTCTAAAATGAACTGGCTTAATAAGAATTTTTTTTGTTTTCTTAATGGGCACCTAGTACTTGGGAAATGCCTGGTATGGGACATTGTTTTTAATGTTTTTCTTTTTAAAACATGTACCAATTAAGCCCAAACAGTACAGAAGACCTAATAGTGAAGAATAACTCTTTCTCACACTTCAAACCCTAGTCAATCAGCTTTCTTCCACAGAGGCAATCACTGTGTTCATTTTTGCATTTTCTCCCAGAGATATTTTATGCCATATCCAAGCCTAGGTACATGTAGAATCTTTTCTCTCCAGAGCCTCTGGGCCTACATTCTTCACTGAATACTGTGCTTTAGAGACTAGTCTGTCCACTGAGAAGAAACATGGAGTCTGCTTCTCATTTCACATTGGAGACACAGCATTTTGTTATGTGGATGTATAGCGAGAAGAACTCTCCTCTGATAGGTTTACGTCTCTAAGCATTTCAGTGTGACTGTACATTTTTTGGAAGTTGGGCCAAGGCTTCTTTACTGATGATGTCAAGACAGGAGTTGGATATCACCTTCCTTGCTTAGACCAACTCTCACAATGCATTATCTGTAACTTCCATTTGGGTTTCTTAAGGTTAGGTGAGAAATTGGACCTTTAAGAAACAGTCTCAGGGCAAAACCCCTGGGACTTTTACTGTGTACTGCTTGCCATAGTGCTTCCTGTCCCTCAGCCACGCCCAATTCAATAGCACTTTCCTTTTTTTGCTAGCTTGCTTTTGTTGAGTCTATATTATTCAACCTAGTGATCACAGAAACAGCTTGCTTTTTTCATTCCTATTTCATCAGTTTAAATGCTAATCAAATAAATCATGTGATTATGTTAGCAGGTACAGCTCACACAAACAGTTGTGGTAACAAGCCCATCTTACCCTGGATGGATGCAAAAATGTGTGGACTTATTAATGGTAGACTCCTAGTCAGAATGCTTAGTGTGCCAAAACCATTCATTTCACTCAGGAAACCGAGAGTATTAGTTAATCGTGTGAGTCAGTTAAATATTCATTAGAAGTTTCTAGTACTCCATAACTTTAGGTAACCATTGGGTAGGCATTTAAATCGCTTCCAGCGTTTTGCTTCCTACAGTGATTCAATAAATATACTTAATCATATTATCTACACACATGGAGGATTTTTTTTTAAATGCCTTGAAATGGAATTACTGTGTCTAAGGGGCTAGTGACTTTATTTGAATAAATTTTGCTGAAGGGAATCTTAAGTATTTTAATTGGTGATTTTCAGTGTTTAACTATAGTAAAGTAAAATATGATCTATAAAGTATTTCTTTCCAAATTAACTAGCTTTATTTTCCCCTTCTCTTCAGTTTGTTTTGTAGAATGGAAAAATTTTGCGCATGAGTCATAAAACACATTCATAGGATTTGAGAGGCATTGAGTCATACAGTACCAGACATCTCGCACACACAGATGACTGACTCACTTTCTGTGTCAGTGTGCTTTGTGTGTGACTCAACCTGTGTGATGGACGTGTTTCTTGTTTGACTCTGTCTGATCAAATGTAGACACTCCAGGACATTTGCTGTGCTAACGAGTAACGCTGGAAAACCTAGGCAAAGGATCCTTTTACAGTATGACTAGGTTATGATTTAGCTTTGCGCAGATCCGGTTATTTTAATGGTTCTGTGTTAGCTTTTTTTTTTTTTTTTAAGTGAGAAAGCAGGATTTATTGAGAGGACAGAAGAGCTCCCACAGTGGGAGGGGATCTGAAGGGATTGCCTTGTGTGTTAGCTTTTAAAACAACTATTTGTTGAGTAATCACTGTTTCCTGAGGTATATGTTGGGATGAAGAAAAAATGAGATCTTGTGGAAATTGTTAGAGAGACAAGAGCTTGTAGCTTACGAAGCTGTTTAGTAGCAGTACACCAGCCTTTCTTTATGGAACACCTGTTACTACTTTAAGGACAAAAATAGCATCACAAATATATTAATATAGGAAGATATGTTTTAAGAGACCAACAACAACCATACTTTATATACATCTTTATAATACCTTCGAATACTATAGCTAAGCCTTTTTTGGGGGATTGCCTATGGATATTTAACTTCTCTTTTGCCTGACAGTTGTGTTTTTTTCCTCTCAGTTTATTCTCAGTGGCCCAGTTGTTCGTTCTTAATTAAGGGATTCCTAAACTAGGAAATTATTACAAAATGGACTACATTTTTCAGTTGTTTAAATCTTGAAAGCTATAATAGTATTCTAATGTGGTAAGAGACCCCAAAATTTTAAATTAGAAGTGTACCTATTTTAAATAAGAAGTGTATTTCTCTTAATAGCCTGGAAGTCAGTAGTCTAATCTGGTGGGGCAACTGTTCAGTAAGATCAATCTGGTTCTTGTTGCTTGACAGTGTGCTAGTGTATTGGCCTGCCTTCATCAAAAATGAAAGATGTGAGTTTTGGTTTAAATAAATAGTTTTCTCAAATGTAGCCAAGTCAGCAGTACTCCATTGGGACTTTTGATAGGGTGTAAGTATGAATACAAATCCCCAAGTGCGATGTTACTCTAAGACCTCACTTTTGGAGCTGGAGATTGTTATTTCCAGGGAAGAGGTCCATGAAGCCATGCATTAATGTAGTTTCTTTCCATGGAGGAAGATTTGGAGGAATATGTATTTTTTATGTTAAAACAGACATGAGTATATTTAGGAGATGAAAGAAAAAATTGGCAGGAATGTTAAGAAAAACCATAAAAATGCTTTTAAAATGATTTTAGATCCCCGGAAATATTTTCTGTTTTTGCCATTATGGAAACATTTTGATAAGCAAATCTTTTAGTTTGTTAAGGTTTGCTTTTTTAAAAAATTTTGTCAGCAGTTCTAAACTATGTAAAATTGTGGAAATAGATTGGCAAAAAGAAAAAATAGTAGGAAATACAAGGAATTTGCCTACATATATTAGCACAGGCATCTTTTTTCAAATAAAGTCTTCTTAAAACTATTTATATGTCATTTTAAATTTTTATTTTTATTTTTTGGAACACTTTATTACCACTGTTTTAAAGTTAAAAAAGATTTTAGACTTTTCTCCTAGTAAAGAAGTTCTTGTTTGTTTTTTTTAAAAAAGGGACTTGCAGACTAGGCTAAAATCGTGGAAACAATAAGCTGGTAGTTAATAACGGTTTGGAGTTTTTTGTTGTTGCTTAAACTATTACTAAAATTAACCTTATTTTAAAACTTATGTTCCACCTTTCCTTATTATCACAGGACAATGAAAAGAGAACCCCATTGCACGCTGCTGCCTATCTTGGAGATGCAGAAATTATTGAACTGCTTATTTTATCTGGTATGGTAACTTCTGTGTAGTATGCATATTTTTGTTACGATTGTTTCTTAGTCACAATTGACTATTTACTGCATGACCTGGTTCTTCATATTTGTTTTATATACTGAAATTTAATAATTTTTTTTTCATTCTGTGAATACTGATCACTTATCCTGGGTGCTTAGAGCACATGAAAGAAGAGGACAAAGGTTGCTGCTTTTTGGAGCCTATTCTCTGATTTAAAAAAAAACAAAAAACAGGCAGAGCATTCAGATTAGTGGCACACTGGTGTTCAGTGACGATGAGTGCCTTGGAAGATGAAAAGGTAGATGAGGGTGATGGTGTGGGAGAAGCGTGTAGGGCTTCGCACAGGGAGTCCTACTAGGCATCCCTGGACACGGAAGTCCTAGGAGATGGCTGCGGTTCTCCAAAAGGGGCGTGAGGTGCCTCAGCCAGTACAGCCATGGCGGTGGCGAGAAATAGCCTGGCAGCAGGTGCATCTGGAAGGCAGTGCCAGCAAGATTTCTGTGCTTAAAGACCTTTTATGCAACCCAGTTTGAAGACATATAAAATGCTTTTTAGGAAATTATATTCTCTTTTTAAATTTTTTCTAAACTATTTTAAGTCTTTAAAATATGAAGTAATGCTGTCTCTCAGAGAATATCTCCTGTTGTAGTCCAACTGCCTATAGCTCTTAAACAGGCAGTCATACAATTTGGAAATGCTTTTATGGTGGTCAGACTGTTGTCATGAAATTTGTTGGGGAACGATGCATGTAGTTGGTTTGCACTTGTGTTGCCAGATTGCACAGAAATGTGAATAGTGAGATTGGAGAAGTGGTAGTGTTCTTTCGATGTTTTGTGGGAAGGAGGGCCCAGAGGGAGAATTTTTGTGTGTGGACCCCATTAAATTTTAGCCCAGATAGAATTTTGCCACTATCAATTCATAAAAATTTAAAAATCTAGTCTTTTCAGTCTTTTATTTGTTTGTTTGTTTGTTTGAGTTGGAGTCTCACTCTGTCACCCAGACTGGAGTGCAGTGGCTGCTTCCAGCCACCGCAGCCTCGACCTGCTGGGCTCCAGCAATCCTTCCACCTCAGGCTTCCAAGTAGCTGGAACTATAGGCACGCGCTACCACGCTCGGCTAATTTATTGTAGAGATGAAGTCTCGCCAAGTTGCCCAGGTGGATCTCGAACCTGTGGGCATAGGGTCTTTCAGTTTTTAAGAAAGATCTGATTTTTATAACAGAAATGTCCCAATCATATATAATTAAATATGGCTAAACATGGACCCAACTAATATTCTGTTAGTTTCTTTATGAATAATTTCACTTCTGATGTAACTCCTCAAAGATGTGTGTTCCTCTAACCCATTTTCAGCTGAAATTTACTAGCAGTAAGAACTGAGGAGGTTCAAGGAAAAATTGTTTCCTTTAAATTGAGTCATCTTGTCTTTAATAATATGAGTTGATAGGACACAGGTTTATACATGGAATTTTCTTCACAAACACAGTCCAAGAAACAGCTTAAGACTTTGCATTAGAACTCTACTGCATTTTTTATTTTAATACAGAATTCTGCTTATTTTCATTTTGTCATGGACATTATTCTATATGAATCAACATGGGGGACTTTCTCCCCCAATTTTTGATTTTTATACCTAGGAGAAACTTTTCCAGTACTCAGTCAACGTAATCCCTTCCTCTTACAAGTGAATGTTTGAGGCTGGGTGCAGGGGCTCAAGCCTGTAATCCCTGCACTTTGGGAAGCCGAGGTGAGAGGACTGCCTGAGCTCACGGGTTTGAGAACAGCCTGGGCAACTTGGAGAGACCTCATCTCTACAATTTAAAAAAAAAAAATTAGCTGGGCATGGTAGCACATGCCTATAGTTCCAGCTGCTTGGAAGGCTGAGGTGGAAGGATTGCCTGAGCCCAGTAGGTCGAGGCTGCAGTGGCTGTGAGCATGCCACTACACTCCGGCCTGGGCGGCAGAGTGAGACTTCCACTCAAAAAAAAAAAAAAAAAACCCAAATAAATAAAAGTGAATGTTGGCAACAAGGATCTTGAGTGAACTGTAGCAGGTAACTTCCTGGTTTCTGTAAGTATGATGATCAGAGGAGCCCTTATTCCTGAGTGTGAGCTACTGTATCTAGATGTCAGCTTTGAAATCAATGTTTGAGAGAATGCTTAGTTTCTTTTGAATAATTAAAGTAAAAATTATGTGTAGAATTAACCATGGGGTGTGTATAAAAAGCTATTTCAACTTATTTTTGAAAAATACTTATAGTAAGTCTTACCAGTTTTAAGAAGTAATATGTAGTTCATGTAGCTGTTTTTCTTTTATTTATTTACTTATTTATTTTTTTGAGTAGGAGTCTCACTCTGTTGCCCAGACTGGAGTGCAGTAACCGCTCCCGGCCACCGCAGCCTTGACCTGCTGGGCTCTGGCGATCCTTCCGCCTCAGCCTTCCAAGTAGCTGAAACTACAGGCGTGCGCTACCACGCCCGGCTAATTTTTTTGATTTATTGTAGTGATGAGATCTCGCCAAGTTACCCAGGCGGGTCTCGAACCCTTGGACTCAGGCAATCCACTCACCTCAGCCTCCCAAAAGCGCAAGGATTACAGGCTGAGCCACCAAACCTGGCTGTAGCAGTTTTTCAAAGGAACAAAAAAGTTCTAAAGAAATTTAGTTCTTCACCTTTCTCAGAAGAAGTGTTTGACCCAGGGCCAGGTGTGTCCCCCACCAGTCTTCTGCCTCAGTTTCCAGCAGCTTCAGTTTGTCCTCCCACCTGGCTGTCTGCCTCAGTTTCTGCTGTTCTCCTTTGTGCTGGCCCTGCTGGGTCCGCTACCCGCTGCCTCTGGGCTTTTGCACTGCTGTTTCTTTGGCTTTCAACCTTCTTCCTGAGATAGCCTCATGACCACTTCCCTCACCTTTTCCTGTCCTCACTCAGATGTCATCAGTGAGGCCTCTCCTGGTCACCACAACCACCACCACAGAGTCTCTGCTCCCATCATCTACTTTCCCAGTGTTTATTGTTACCTGACATCCCTTTCACCTACACTCGCTTATTCATGGTCATTCTCTCCCACTAGAACGTAAACTCCAAGAGGGCTAGCCATGAGCCTTCTCTGCCTCCATGGCATGTTTGCATTGAGTGCCTAGAATGGTGCAGAGCGCATGACGGTCTCTGAGTGGATACTTGCCAGATGTTGTGCACATACACTGGTATGAGTTTAGACTCTGCCTCCTTTTCAGCTGTCTGTGCATTTGGTCTCCATTTCCCAAGTCTTCAAAGGAAGTGAGGCTAGGAGAGGTGAGGATGGGGTGGGAGCTGAGGCTGAGGGAGTCAGGCAAGCGAAGAGGGAAGGAAGGCCAGGGGCTTGCTGCCTTTGGATGCCACTCAGGCTCTTCCGTAGTTAGGGTCTGAGTAGTTCTGAGTAGTTCGGTCTGAAGGAAGAAACGCAAATCAGTGCTCACTTGCATTTGAAATAAGATGAGCTGCAGTGAAATTCAAGGCTAGATTTCTGTTAAGCTAGGACCCAGTTTTCTACTTATGAATGAAAACAAAAGCAATAAAGCAGGCTCTATGTTGCCATGAGAGGCTCTGCAGAGAGTGTGAAGGTCACAGGCTCATGGACCTGATAGGTTTGTATGCAAGTCCTGGTCCTGCTTCTTCCTGCCTCTGTGATCTTTTGGAACTTAGTATCTGAGCTTCAACTTCCTCATCTGACAAATGAGAATAATAGAAACTTTATAGGCTTGAAGAAGCAAATGAGATTTTGTAATTAAGACACTTAGAAAAGTCCCTAACATATAGTACTCAAAGTTATGGCTATTATTAGTTAAGCAGTCTTCCTTTTTTCCTCAATTTTTTTGATCCTGCCTAGTAAATTCCTTGATGTCAGGAAGTATCTTTTTGGTGACTTTTAGATATGCCTCCTTAAGAATTCTCCCCTACCAGTTCTGAAATCTAATTATATTCTGAAATGATGAAAAGGAATGAGTGACTTACCTATGGAGAGAATGTGAAAGAGTATATTTCCATACTCTAGAAAGACTAAGGTTGGAAGAAAATAGACCCTTTATAGGTGAAGTGTATTCTTATTTTTTAAATTTTAGAATCAAGAAACAGCCTAGTATGTAAACTTGGGGGCTCTGTAGAGATGCCTCAGGGTTCTATGCGTATCTTACCTGATGCTGGGATTACTGGGCATCCTTTTTCTTCTTCTTCTTTTTCTACTACTTCTTCCTCTTCCTCTTCCTCTTCTTCTTCCTCTTCCTCACTCTGTTGCTCAGGCTAGAGTGTGGTGGCATGACACGGCCACTTCAACCTCGACTTGCTGAGCTCAGGTGATCCTTCCACCTCAGCTTTCCAGGTAGCTGGAAAGCTTTAAATGATAGAAGTACTCTACTGAGCAGGGACCCCAGAAGCAGAGCAAATAGTATGGGCTCATGATTCAGGATAACAGAGCTCTAACCAGTGAGAGATAGTAATCAGGATGGGTAGCTGACTATTAAAATTGACACTCTAGAAGTTAACTGCCATGGCCTTTGATTTTTTTTTTTTTTTTGAGTTGGAGTCTCACTCTGTCACCCAGACTGGAGTGCAGTGGCCACTGCTGGCCACTGCAGCCTCGACCTGGTGGGCTCTGGCGATCCTTCCACCTCATCTTTCTAAGTAGCCGGAACCCACACCCGGCTAATTTTTTTTATTTATTGTAGAGATGAGGTCTCACCAAGTTGCACGGGCGGGTCTCGAACCCGCGGGCTCAGGCAATCCACTCACCTCAGCCTCCCAAAGCGTGGGATTACAGGCTGAGCCACCGAGCCCGGCTTATGGCCTTTGATTTTAAAAAAAAATACCGTTTTATATAGTTAAAGAAGGAACCAGATGATATTTTGAAGCCTGAATCAAAAGGAATTTTGGTTTGGTGGCTAATTCTTCAGTTCATTCATGGTGTATCAATTTAAAGTTCCCATTAACTCTTTAAATTGAAAGATAACTAGGACAGTTTTATAGA